AAAGGCGACACAGACCGTAAACACACTGTATGTTATGTAAGTTTATGTTCGTCACAATTTTATAAAAGCTTACCGCATGTAAGCTTTTAAGTTTTTCAAACTTTATTTTCATGGCCACAGTCGAATGAAGCTAAAATGAACAATAGTTGCTTTAAATGTTCAGCAAGTTACATGTGAAACGTTTTTCTTTACTTTTCTAGCACCGCTTAATTTTTTTATCTTTTGAGACTTCGCCGTGAGAAAAGGTGATATTTTGCAAAGTTTAATGAGTGGTTTTAATAAGTATTCTTAAAAAGTCCTAACCAATTTATTTAAAAAATAGATTTGAATCATTTTTTAACGAATAAATATGGAATATTAGTACAAATAATAGCAATAAGTAGTGTATCACCGTTGTATGTAAACGAGAAATTAAGGTCTTTCGACATAAAGGCAGACTTTGAAAAACGCAATGAAAATTCTTTTTCCGCAACACAAGTGAGTGCGCTCGCCGGATGTTGTTAGACAACAATAACCACAATGGCTTTCATAGTTGGCAAACATTACAACAGTGACCGGAAGTGGTCGCGAATACAGCATTTCCGTTTTCGAGATGGCGCTTTAGCGCTTCCTCTTCCTGCAGTTGTTGTCAAACTTAATGAGCTACAACGAATATGGAGTTTATATTCAATTGTTAAATATTACAGAAGATACACTTAGTAGAACAACTTGGCATACATTATATTATAAACGCGTCTGTATTTATGTCCTATCTTAATCTGTATTTTCGAGTAATAATAAATATGTAACATATTTTTTTTTTTTTTGTAATAATTATACTACTAAAGATTTTGTAGTACAAAGAAACATAATGCGAGTATATTACTTATTTGATTTCGTTTTAGAAACATCTTAACTACCGTTCGTTACGATATTTCTGTTGATATAATTGTTAGTAACAATTAGGTATGACCCGTTGATTATTCCAACTAATGAATTAAATAAATTCTACTTGCAATAAAATAATTTTATTTATATTTTTAACCCACACGGGCAAAACAAACTAACAAGTATATGCTATCTCTTTTCTAAATCTATAAAATAAGGCTTCATTTCAAATAAGGGAAATAGAACAATTGGAATTTCCGATCGATTTCACACATCTCGCCGTCGTACCAGATAATGCCAACTGCACGGAATACATTAACGGAATGTTCTTGTATTGGAGCAATCCTTTGTTTCTCTTTTGTACCGCTAAAGAATCAGTTATATTCAAAATTTTATTTCAGGGAAAAGAAGGTAGTGAAATTGACTTCAAAAACCTTTTTTACTGTTTATGGTCACCGCCTGACTTCGCACGAGCATACTGTATTTCATTAGTAAAACTCTTGGAATTGATCATTCTGATCAATTCAGAGAGTTTAACCATCCTTTTGGCAAATGACATTTAAAAAGCCATTTAACAGCTGATTACTTAACTTCTACGATGATCAGTGTTTCAGAAACCAGAGTAAGTTGACAAAAATCCTCACATACTTTAATTTAGAAAAAATTAAAATTGAGTCTTAACTACTGAGGGATGTAGCTGAGCATAATTATTTTCTAGAATGGGTTAGAGATTACACATACACAAAATAATTTAACCCCGTTGCAACAAAAAATTAGATTAATACTTTGTTACATCAACTCGCTAACACTGTACATTAATGAATGTAAGTTTTACGGACTTATCTCGGTTGTTTTTGTTCTTAACCTTCCCGACGTTAACAATACTTTATAGCACTCATGGCCATGGGGTGGAACAAAGAGTAAGATGTTTCTAAACTGTCAACCGACTACAATCAGTTTTTAAAGTAATTATTTTGCTTGTAGTGGTGGCCTGCTTGACGCTGGCTTAAATTTTATTAATTACAGAATCCCAAACTGTTGTCAAGAGCCACCCTCTTGGATATTGAAATTTGGATGTTTTTTTTTTTTTTTTTTTTTTGGATAGCATCGTGAAGGTGTTTTTTAACGGGTCTATCAAATCTTGTGTAATTTTTTAGGCAAATTAAGTCAATAATTTCAATTCTCTGGATGACTTTATATATGGGAGACTTTATATCTTTACGGCTTTACACTTTCAGCATTCATAATTTAAAAAAAGAATCTCTTCGCGGCGTCTAAGCTGCTCAGTATCTTTTACTTGCTTTGAAAAACTGCAGTTTGGCAGAAAACATTAGTAAAATAGATCCTGCCGTTTATATAAAATAAGATACAAAATACTTGCTCCTTTATATATATGTGAACATTTATCTCACAGTAGAAAATATAAAAACATTTATTTTCGTCCATAATTTTATCTTTGCATCTCTCTAAACTAGTCTTGCTGGGAATATGCATAGTCTTCTATTACAATGTTGAAATACGAGCAGCTTTGTGCACCCTTCCTTTACTAGCGCTTGAAACCTTCTTAAAATGATGGCCAAAGCACCAGTCTGAGCTATCTCAGATATCCGGTTGAATCTCAGCCTTCACAGTATTTTCTCTACACCTATGTTTTGTCATTGTCCAGTATATTTGATACCAACGAAGAGTACATCAATTTAAGAGTTATGCACACAAATATCAGTTGCGGTTTAAACACGGTTGCGACGATTAGCAGCCGTGATACGCTTTGTCCGGGCGCTGGCTTCTTATTCCATGTAGGTACTCGAGAGACCTGTGTTCGATCCCCGGTGCCAGCACCAATGAAATTGTTAATTTTAAGTGCCGACTTAACATTTCTTCAACGGTGCATGAAGGAAATCATCGTGAGCGAACCTGTATATTTCGAAATAATAACAATCTTTTTTGGAAAATATATGTGAAGTCCACCAATCCATAGTGCAGCCGCGTTGTGGGACTATGCCTTAATGCCCTGTGTAAAGAGGAGGCCATTACCCAGCAGTGGGACCTATATAGGCTGTTACCTTGCGATGATTATACGTTTCTGAATACCTGTTAGTCATCTTTATATGTGAGCTATGATGATAACATTTAAGATTCTTAGGTACTTAACTTAATTTGGCAACTTCTAACGTATATACACATCCTTAATTCGTATGATTACGAAAAAAAACAATAAAAAGCATCAAATGTTACCTTCCGTAACGCCACACTCCACACACAAATGATATAAGCAAGTTAATGAGTGAGGGTCCGCCTGACAATCAACGTACTACAATACCCACATTAATCTTTCCTCTATTTACAGTGGCCATATTTCAACCAATATTTCTAGGCGGAGATGGAGGCTTATCAACCCTCGTGGGAGCAATCTTTTCATCTTGGGGAAAATAGTCAGCATACCTGCTCGTGAACGCAACCTGTCTTACTTGTACCGACAACAAGCCCCAGTTTAAAAGTTTTAGGAGCGCTTTCTAGCTAATAATACTTAGATCATTGTGGTAGAAGTGAAGTGGTGGAGAAGGTCGAAGTTGATTGTCCTTCAAATGAATACAAGTTCTTACGATTTAGAAGAACAATAAGATGGAATAGCTCTCCATAGGACATTGTGTCCCTCGATTACGCACAAAAATATAGTACTTTATAGAAACATGCTAAAAGTTCTTAATACTATAAAAGTGTCTTCACAAATGGAGTTAAATTAAAAGAGTATCCGATAAATTCATTTTTATTTAATTTTATTAGCACATTCAACACATTTTTTTTTTTGTAATTTATTAGAAAAAAATATATAATGAAGACGGTACAATGACAGTTATTAAATGTTTTATTCTGACTTTAATACAAATTGCAGAAGTTCTTTGCAATTATAAAATAATAACAATATGATTTTGTCATAATTTCTTTTAAAGTGATTTCAGCCATAAGAAATTTACATATGTACATTGTATCTTATTATACGATATTGTAGATTCCCCTTTATTTTTTCACTAGCCCTTGAAAAAAACTTTTTCATGTACTAGCGTGTGAAGTATGTGTCAGTTTAAAAATAAAGCTGAGGCGAATTTCAGAACCTTGAATCGCGTCTTATTCTAGTTGTAAATGACAATCAATTTGAAGGGGGATTTGAAACAGAATTCAAAATTTACGAAACGCAAATAAAAGTCGGAACAAATTTCAAGCAAATTCAATCACTATGTTAAAAACTGTCTACATTAACATTTCATGTCGTACAAATTTATTTAATAAATATTTCAAATTACTTTTTTGAAGAAAAATTTAAGTTCTGTCTTATTTTTAGGAAGGTCAGGCTTCTTCAAAATTAATTTTAATACTTAAAGTTAAAAACAAAGAAGTATTATTAATACACATAGCATAGAGCTAGCTTACGCTAATAGATTTAGTTCAGAATCAGTCTTAGAAAGTAAGTTAAAGTAAAATCCTCAAATATATTTCAGAATACTTAGAAAACTTTATCTCAAATTAATACAATAAAGTAATTCAATGTGAATATTTAAGGATTTTACGGGAAATTTTAGATTTATATAAGAAAAATGTTTCACATTTTAACTGGTATAAGAAGTATAAGACGTTACATAAAAACCCTTACTTGAATCCGTTTAAGATTCACTATTCTTTGCCATCTAAAGATTAAAGCTTCACAATATTAGGCTTGTTTAATGAACATTTAGTTAAAGCGTTGTAGGCTGCAAGACAATTTATCAAAGATTTTTCTAGTGACTCGCTAGACTTAAGAGTATATAGTTTTATATCGGGACGTTTCCATTTGCATGTGTTGGTATCTACAGACATATTCGTTTTAATATCTATGAAATTACTAATTCTTGATGTACATCCTTCAATGAGATTCGATTAGACATTTCAAATAGTTTCCAGTACTTAGGACGACTTATCGAATATGAGATCATCTAAATTAGTCTCTCATACACTTCACACTTACTGTATATGAAGATTCATCACCATGAATAAAATCACACTGATCGTTCGGTAAGATTTATAAAAAACATTTTTTCACTCGTAAATTAATGTCTATAAAATAAAATTTCAAACCTAACTACATACTTAATTAATTACACATGAGTGCCGGCCGCCAAATGGGACCCATTACCTGTAAAGCAATTTAAAAATTAATAAGTGCAAAAAGTGTTAAACATTTTACGGTATTCAACACAACTTCCACCAAAATATGTTATGTTCGACATAATTATATCCGTAGTATCAACATTAATTGAGTTACAGACTCAAAAAATAAATCTCATCCCATACATTTCAAATTTAGAATAATCCATATGTAACTTAGGTAATGATACTGTTTGGTTCATAATGACGCTTGAAAAATGTACGACTATTAGATAAATGCATCTTAGAAATGTATTTTTTTAAGGAATACATACGATGACTCATCGATGAATTGGTACAGGGGGGTAAATGGTAATTTATTTTATTATTGAAGTGAAATTAATGAAATTTTTTTACAATCAACTAGTATTCCAAATGATATGTTTAGCGCACTATTATTAAAATGCCGTTAATTCTGTTATTTCTTGCTTTAATATTTGTAATATTTTCTGAACATAGATACAGCTCAAAATGATTTGTTAGAGTTATATTGTTAGAGTACCTTTGGCGGTTATTTGGCATGACTGCAGGTTTCCTTGACTGGACGGTGGGAGTATGTAAAGTGCTCCGGCTGATTGGGGTGAAGCTTTAGGAACCTGTGCAAATAAAAATAATAGCATTAGTATTTATTACGTAAAACAGTTATTCAAATTAAGTTTTGCAAAATTTTTACAAAATTTACATGTAAATTGGTGACAAGGACGGATAGTGTCATATTTTTATGAAAAACCTTTCGTTTTATATCATCACTAGCGACCCGCCCCAACTTTGCACGGGTGCAATGTATTAGACATATAATACCTTCCTCTTGAATTACTCTATCTACTAAAAAAAACCGCATCTAGATCCGTTGCGTAATTTAAGTAAACATCTAAGCATACATAGGGACAGACAGACAGCGGGAAGACTTTGTTTTATATTGTGTAGTGATCACACATTTTATCCTTGAATAATTTCATGTGAAATTACAATAACAAGTCAGTATAAGCAAAGACTGAGTTTTTCATTGTTACTTGAGCACCGATAGTTTTTAGAATAGGTCTAAGGTATCCCCTGCCTGTCGTAAAATGCGACTAAAAGGGGACACGGATTGGCAGCAGCTCGAAGTGGTCTGGAGCTGCAGCAAGATGGTGAGGCAACCGGGAAAGGTCTATCCTTCTCCGAGGCGTGCTCACGCGCAGTACCGAGGGACACCGGTGCGTTCCGTGGGAGATCCCGGAGTAGATCCAAACGTACAGTAGTTAACCACCGAGGAGGTTTTAGGGGGTAGAAACCCCACATAATCTAGTCATGTAAGGTGACAGGGTATCTTTCGAATATTCCCCCCTCCCCAACCCGATTCCAAGAAAAAATAAAAAGGTTTTATCAATGTATACTGATATTTTTTTATGTCAAAAGTTGCCAAGCGAGCATACGGTTCACCTGATGTTAAGTGAATACCGCCGCCCATGGACATCTCCTACACCCGAGGGTTACAGATGCGTTGACAACCTTTTGAAAATTGGGCTCCGGCCACCTCACTCACCAGACGAAATGCGGAAGTATTATACTTCAACTTGACGCCGGTCTTCTACGAGGCCGTGGAAATTACCCGGACGAGCCCGCCCATTCGTGCAACAGCTGCGTGGCCCTACCACTGTGGCGTGGCCCTACCACTGTGGCGTGGTACTGATAAATGAACCGTAATGTTAATAAAGGTATAAAACTCACTTGCGGTTGAGCGCTGCTGTTAGTTGACGACGATGATGCTAAAGGACTTGTCACTGGTCTCGATGATGACGACGATGATGGCGATATTACACCCGGCGCTATTGAAATATAACAGATTTGGTACAAGTAAATGCAAAATTAAATATTTAAATGAAATAAAATATTTAATGATTTTGTTTGCGTAGGATTTGTTGACTTTGTTTACTTTATAATGTTCATTTTATTGGACGACCTTTACTTTATATGTAAAGGATGATCAATTAAGAAAGTAAGCAATATTTTCTGCAAAATGTAGTAAGAAACCCATTTAGTAAAAAATTTTAGCAAGAAAATGTTGAGACTTACCTGAAGGCGGGAGATTATTACTTCTGAGGGTGTAATAAGGAGGTGGTGCAGGCTTCGACGCTGGGCCAGTATTTGCATGTGCCGCATAAGCTAAAACATTATTTGTTGCATAAAAATTTAATGTTATTTACTAAATATATCCTGACTAATATTATAAACGCGAAAGTTTGTATGTATGGATGAATGTTTGTTACTCTTTCACGCAAATACTACTGAATGGATTTTAATGAAACTACAATAATATAGCTTATACATCAGAATAAGATATAGGCTATAATTTATATACATATTTTATATATATCTGTCTTTCTGTCTGAATGTTACGCCTTCAGCCTATTCTACGCAGTAGGTGCGGGCTAGTAAGCAAATATAATAAGCATCCGAATTGTACAGTTAAAGATATCACATTGTTTGTGTAATAAACTCAAGCAAATTATGATATCATTAAAAAATATTCTGGAATCTTGAGTCAAAACAATAGTTAAAGTATACGGTTCAATCTCCTATATTTCAAACACTGCGGTGAGTGGTACGAATAAAAGAGCAAATTGTTAGCGCTTGAATTAGCTTCCTCCGTGGCTCGCAGTTTCAGTTATACAAACATTATAACTATTTATATATTTTTTATTTAATATTGTATGGGAAAAGAAAAAGTCTCAAAGAATATTTGTCGTTAGGGTAAAATTTCCGTCGTACTCAAATTTAACAAACCCAGATTTTAGTCACCAATAGTAATGTCTGTTATTTCTACGACAAAACATGCAACTTTTTTAAAATATAGCTGAAAGGTCTATTTCTCTACAAATTAAAAATTTCTTTTTAAATACAGAGTAGCCCTACAAAAATTAACATCATTTAAAATGAAAGTTGCATCGATCATTTAGTCAAATCCTGATATCTATGGTATATAGAGAAAACATAACTATTGGGAAGCAGATATTATCATCAAGCATTTAAAAATTGTCATGAAGATCTTAGAAAGGGTGCTTTTATTTGCGAAGATCAATCTTAAAAAAAATATTAGTAAGACTCCATTCGTTCTAAAAATTTTACCGATTTAATACAGGTTCTATTTAAATTTATGTCGTTGAAAAGCCTCGTCAGATGCTATGATTATAGTTTGTGGCGTATTAGTTTAGCTTTTGCATCATCGAAACATAGACAGATGAATAAATATATTTATTTAACGATGGTCATCTTAATAAAGGTTAAAATCTTAGTACCAGTACTTACCTAGGGGACCACTTGCTCTTAGATACGGATTCCCGTACGTGGCTGCGTATCTTACGTCTAGACCCCCGCTTAGAACAACTCCGGGATTTCCCATAGGTATAACTAGGAAGTAAAATTTAATACGTAGGTTATATCAGGAAGTTTAAGCTTTGATATGAAATTATTGCACTTTATATGAAAGCAGGATGTTTCATAAAAGTTGTTACAATTTAAAAACAGCGTTTGCTTTTTTAGATTTTTTAAGTACATGAGAGTGCATATATAAGAGTTATATATAGTACATACATAAGAGTTCTAAATTTGTTTGAAAGGATTTAAAATATACACATCAAAAAAGTCTCAGCAATACGAAAAAATATTGTGATAATTGGCTAATTGCTAAAATGATTTAATAAAATTTTGTTTGTTAAACGCTAGCAAAATTTTTAATTTCAAAATTAATTGCAATTGATTTTTGGAAAAATTGTTCTATTTAAATTAAAAAAAAAATTCTTTTGGGAAGAGTTATATTATGTTGATTGAGAATTATGACTATTTTTAACTTTAGCTACATTTATTGTCATACATTTCTATCGTCACACAAATTCTTGTCCCGTGTGGGAAACAAACCCACCATGCAGGCGTCGAAGCACCTTCAAGATTAGTAATGCGCCAATGAGTCATTCTCGCTATTGATGAAATATCATGTACTTACGATCAGGTCCTACTAATCCCCCAAGCCGTCCGCTGCTGCTCTGACGGCGCAGGGATCCGCAATGACTTAAATAAGTTGACTCGTCTGTGCTCCTTGAAAGAGACCCTGACAGAGAGTCGCTTGACGGTAAAGGTGGGGCGTAGTCCCTGGCATAGTCCACGTACGGGACGTAACCATTGCTCTGACCTTGAGCCTAAACAATATATATTTTCATTTAAATATATAAATAGCACTTCCAAAAGTTTATGAAAGTACCACAACACGCAAGACCGTCGTGAAGTGGAAGTGTTATACTTCTGCATTTCGTCTTTGAAGTAAGGTGACCGGGCTTTATTAAGAGGTGGCGTCTGCAACCCAAGGGGTGCTGAGATGTCCATGAGCGGCGGCTATCAGGTACCACCACCTCACTTTCCACCTCTCCCATAAAAAGAATTAATCACGTGTCATAAACTAATAGAAAATAGGTACTAAATATATTACTTTTTATGTCCGTTATAAAACATATACAAAACTTCGTAGTAGTGAAAGTAATATATGAAAGCACTTTAAAACCTAACTTCATTCGATGTTTCTCGATTTTATAGCACTTTTCATCACGTACGCATTATTGTATAATTTCATAACTGTATTAAAGATAATTCATATGGCTGCCACTCAAATATTCTTTCACGGGCATGTTATGTACGAAGTGAGATGGGTACGAAGAAGAGTTGCATATTTCAGTAAAGTATCATAAAAAATCAGCCTATGCTTGTCCCAGCAGTGGGACAAGTGTGGCAAACACCCCATCTGCACAAAGGGTATTAGGGTTTAATCCGCAGACTTCAAATATCTTATAAATATTTTTTGTTATCATTTCAAAAATATTATTGCAGGTTTCCTCACGATGTTTTTCTTCACCGCTTAGTACTTCTCAAGTAAGCAGTTAAAATTAATAATTTCATTGATGCTGACACCGGGATTTGAACTCAGGTTGCTCGAGTATAAATAATTAAATGCGAGCGCTCGGACGCTGAGCTATGGCGGCTTTTTATATCTTAATAAGTTTCTTACATCCTATATTATAATTAATAGTTGCGATAGTGTGCTGTACTTATCGTAATTCTTTTTTCTTTATTTTAACACAGTCCTATTTTATATTTATCACCACCCAATAAAGTATTCATTACTTGACGAAAGCTAGAGAATTATCATTAACCGACTTCAAAAAAAGGAAGAGATTTCTCAATTCGACCGTAAATATTTTTTTGTTTTTTGTGTGTTCGCGGCTAACTTCGACATTTATGAACCTATTTTGATGATTCCTGTTTAGTCGTAAAGGAGATATCCCAAGGGTGGTACCATGATAGAGAAACCCGGAGCTTATGATGGCATCCCAGAGAAATTGAGGGCCGTCAGTGAATGTTATAGGTATTGCCGAGTCTTTAATTTTCTGATTTAAGTCGTTTTTTTTTTTGTTAAAAAATATACTTGTTTTATATAAAAAGTTGTGAAACGAGCACGCGGTTCACAGGTGCGTTGATAACCTTAAAAAGCAGTGGTCCGCTAACCAAACAAAACGCGAAACTACCAACCATTTTAGGTGCTAGCCGGGCGATCTGATTCGAACACTAAAAGCTATGACGTAGCACTACCACAGTAAAGAACCATCAAATCCACCTAAAGCGATATTTGCGTAAGAGTCAAATAATGAAATGAATAAATGCATGCGACTGTGATAAAAAACCGTGTGACGTTTCCGACATTAGCGTTCGCTCGACGTTTCCGCACGTCAGCGGTGGTCGGGTAATTATCTAGGAGCTGTAAAACCATTCTCTTTCACTCTCCCCCTATTGTCCCACGGGACGCTGCATCAAATTACATTTTGCCGCGTTAAAACGTCGCGTGTTATGTTTCTTGTCACGTACGACAACTTATAAGGTTTGAGGCACTCGTTTAGCAGTGAACGGAAAGTTGCTTCGTCGTGCTTTTGTCAATTGGTTGTTATCTTTGACCACGGTAGACTATGGTTCCTTTATTGGGCGATCGATCTAGGAATTTTTAACACCAGTTGGGTTGGATGCGAGATGACATGGTAGCTTTTAATAAAATGGACCCCAATTCTTCAACGATAGATGTCTACATAAAGTTTATTAATATCCACTATTCTACAAATGGTCTGTTTCCCTTGCATGTAACGTGCACAACAAAAGACGTCAATGAGTGCTCGACTGTCATTAAATTAATTCTGTATTAAGATGAGTTCATCTTATTAATATATTTTTAAGACAGAAGTTCCCAAATTAAAGTATTTAGCACAACTAGTTAAGTGCTAATAAACGTGTTTGCTTCCGATAGTAAAACTCCCAAAGCCTGACAAGTCACTGAAATATGAACCCTTACCATAGCTCACGCATTACAAACTTCGTTAAAACTCTAGTGACATCAAAATAGACGTACACAAACAATCTTAATATAAAGCGCAATTGGCAAAAATGGCTTTATAATATATTTAGCAAAACATTTAATAGACAACATTCCAACGAAGTCTCAAAAAACCCACACGCTAAGGTTTTTTCCATTGGAATTGCTGTATGTATAATGACTGACATAGACTGTATACAGCGTGTAGAAAATTAATGTACGCTTCCAAGTAACGCCGTCTGCTGTGACAAAACAAATGAAATGCGAAACTCGTTCCCATTAAAGTGATATGTACGCTTCGGTTTGTGGGCGGGATTTGTTTAATTCGTGCACAATATAACATTGCGAGAGCGCCATTAGACTAAATCAAACGTGACACAAAGCCTAGATAAAGGAGATCGTTACGCGAGCACCTTTGATTTCTTAAAAGTAATTAGTCAACTCCAACCCACTAGACGAAAGCGAAATGATAATGTGGGGATAAGAAAGGTTTTTAGTGCCAATGATCGTAAAGCATAACAGCATTTATACAACTGACATTGTGTCTTAACAATTATGGTGGTATAACTTTATTTAATATCAACCTCATGAAATATTGGGATCATGATCGGATGTTTGTTGGTGATCATATAATGGCACAACTTATTCGGATTTCAATCTTTTCTCGTGTACTTATCTTTGTTATTTATATGTATTATATTTCTTTATGTTTATGTAAGTTTATTTTATTTTATTTTATTTTTTTTTTTGTATTATTAAGTAAGTTTATTGAGCACACTACCTCCCACTATTCATTATATTTTTCTTCTCGTCCTAAGGTTGTCTGGAAGAGGTCGCTTTTTAGTGATATGACCGCCTTATTTTACCTAATTTTTAATACTTACTGTATTAAATTACTTGTAGTGCACAATAAATTATATAATAACTAGCGACGCGCCCCGGCTTCGCACTGGTCCAATGTATTATACATATAAACCTTCCTCTTGAATCACTCTACCTACTAAAAAAAACTGCATCAAGATCCTTTGCGTAGTTTTAAAGATCTAAGCATACATAGGGACAGACAGCGGGGCGACTTTGTTTGTACTACGTAGTGATAATGACTCAGTACACAAATGTTAGAAACAACTCAAGATCATAATGGAGATAGAAAATGGAACGATTTTACCTTTATGTGCATATTCCCCAGCGGTTGGTTGAAGTCATCGCTGTACCTCTGGTACTGCTTCATCAGCTCGTTGTCATAGCCGGCTTCAGGTAGAGGGACCGGACCGGCGAGCGGCAACCCCAGGTTTGTTGTCAAATGAAGCGTGGAGTGGAGCTCTGTCTCAGAGCCGTTATTGGAGTGGTCCTAAAAATAGTATTCATTTTTGTCGTTCCGTAGTACAATTGACAGAGCCGGACGCCTTACAGGATTGGTTTGTAGAATCCCTTGAAATCTATGCCGCATATTAAGTCTTTACTGTCTAATACGGCCTTTTGACTAAGTAAATAATTGGAAGGTTCTAAGTCAAAATTTGAAATTCGCCTCAATACCAATATTACAGACGGTAAAATTTGCTCTATCGCACTGGGAGTATGTCTGTATTGTTTGAAAACAGCTACCAATGCTCTTAAATGAAAAAATTTAATAAAATAAACATTTTTTTTTTAAATATTACTTTTCCAAAAAAAAAAAAAAAAAATCGAGATTATTTTAACCGTAGAATTTGTTACCCGTTCTTTAGTCGACAGGTTTTAAATTGATGAACCAGTATATTTACCCGTATATATTTGACGTTGATAAAAGCTTTTGAAATCGAATAAAAGTTTTTTTCATCCACTTTCAAGCAAATCAGAGGAACAAAGAAACTTGAAAACTCTTTTCCTATACATCGCTGTAGCAATTTTTTAACAATATTGTTGATATTGATATTGATTTTGTTTAATCTAGCCTTCAGATATCACGGAAACTAACGCTGTTTCATATAATTTTGATTTCACCTATCACTAAGACGAAACAATACTACGCTACGATGAGTTACGATCTGTTGCTCTCAGCCCCCGTTACCCTTAACTACACCAAGGTTTAACTACACCAAGGGCCTAAACCTTACAATAGCAATAGGTAAAAGATTAACTCTGAAATGCTGTTGGCGCACATGTTAGTTATGCATGACAATCTAAAATAGTTGAGTCTGGTTTAACACTTAAAATCTAGATTTTTATCAGGGTCATATTCTGATGAAAATTTAGAATTCAAGTAAAAGTAGTAAAGGCAAAAAATTATGTACTTAAAGAAAATTGTAATCAATGAATGTTATTTGGAAAAGATTAAGACACATTTCTTCGTTCTTTAATAATAAAAAGCTAAAGTAGCGAATAATGAAAGTTCTCGGTGTAAGTAAAGTGGGATAAGAAACCATAAACTTCAGAAACAATCAGTCGTCAAAACTTTTAAGTTTTGAGACGTGCACTTTTCCTTACAAAGTTTGAATTCGCTTCGGCACACGTGGTAAATCAGCGCATAAAATTGAAACGAACAATTTCGGTGGTGCCCAGTACAGAGATTCGAGCTCAAGTTACTCGTGTGTTGCGAAAATTGGACACAAAACCCCTAGCTCACACTGGTCAAAATAAGTCGGTGATTTTCTATTACAGCTTGAAAATAAAATAAAAACTAAGATGCATATCAATATTTCAGATTATTATGTTAAAATATGTTGATTTCGTTATTTTGTACAACAGATATTATTAACAGATTTATTTATTGATTTATTTAATCTTTGTGCACAAACTAGTACAAAGGCGGTTAACTTCGAGTCGTCGATAAAAATAATGATGCAGAATATTTATCGCTAAACGTCGCAACCAAGTTATATAAAAAGATTTCAACCTTCAATCCATGAGAAAACAATTTAATCCAATCAAAATAATTAATTAGGTACGTTTTAATTAATTTTCCACGCTATCCCACTTACCAATTCGCAGTTACCTTCAACTTGTCTCAGCTCCATTTTCAAATCGCTTATGTTTGAGCTGCGATCGCTGTCTTTAAACTGGTCAACACAGGTCTTACCGACGTCCGTGATGTCGGGTTTCTTAACATCGCTCTTGTTCGACTTACGATGACATATCATTATGAGCAACATGATGAGCAGTATAAAAACTGCCGCTGTAGCCGCACCGCAGGCAATGATGAAAACGTTTAACGTTTCTGGAAATAGTCACGATTATTTAGTCTAATTAAGCGTGACATAGGAGAGGTAAGTAAAAGTAAGCCTAATTTACATCAACACAAATGAGGAACAACGTATCAATTTTAACTCGTACTACAAAAGAAAATTTATTTTACCTTGTTTGTGTAACAAATGTTAAAATGTTAAAACGTAAGGGAATGACAAAACAAGATGACAAGAACAGAAACAGGCTTCATATAATTTTATTTAAGGTAAAAACTATTTCTTACTTTTATTTTTATAAATATAAAGGAATGTATTTTTATTGACGACTTACTATCAGGTATCAAATTTATTTCTGCACTGTCTGTTCCGTAGGAGTTAGAGACACTGCAGTTGTATGTGCCAAAATGTTTAGCTTGACTATCGCGTATTATCAGCGTTGATTTAGTCATTCGATCCGATAAACTCTCCTCTAAAAATGCATATTCCTGGGAACAAAAAGCACTTTTGAAATTTCTCTACATGCTGCATCTGTTGAACGGATTTGGATGAAATGCAACATATGGCTAACTTCCTAGTTAGAAATAGAACTTCATGGGTGGCTTGATCGAGTTCCTAAAATATTAGCGATTATCAAATTTACACGTCCTGGTTATGTCTTTGATAGTTTATCATAGTTTACAGTTTGATATAAATCTAGATATAAGTCTAAAATAACTTAATTTTTACTTTACCCACGTGGATCATCGTACGTATACGATTATACCTCGAAGTCAATTGTTTTAAAAGTATAAAATAATATGTGAAACTTACATGATTATGAAACGAGTTTATTTCATTGCCACCATAGGTCCAAATCATGAAATCGGGCTTTGGCACCGAGAATGATATGCACTCAATCTTAACGCTGTCACCTTCTACACCGTATTGCGTTCTATTCGAAACGATTTTCGGTGGACCTTAAACAAATATAAGTATGAAAAGTAAATAAAGAGAAGAAGAAGGAAGAGGAAACCACTGTTGATTATACCGTGCACACACGTTTTTTTTTCTTAAACCAGTTCCTTCATAAGTAATGTTGTAAATAAACATGGCAAAAGCATTAGAGAGTTAGGTTAGAGCTTGGCACTCTTATGAAACCAATATTCTAACAAACCAATAGAACGTTTCAGGTGTGTTATATTCGAACAAAAAAATAAATCAGATATCAGATTCCTAAATTAGTTATTAGTAAATATTTGCCATTCTGTTACTGTGAATTAACTGGTAAAGATTAAACATTTACATTTAGAGTTAATGATGTTCGCTTTTCAAACTTACAGCGAGTACACCCTTTTTGAAATCTCTTTATGTAAATAAATGCGAAGTCTAAGGAAATAAAAGCTACTGACTACTTGATAAATTAGTGGGAAATACAGCTGGAGATCTCGGCAATCAACGGTCGGTTCCATTACACTTCAATATTGAAACGAAGTTGGCTTATTTATTTAGCTATTATGATTATGTTGGAAGTGCCCTCAATGAATGCGATGAATGCAACTCCAGTGAACTCGACGGTGAAAAGAACTATTCAATTTGGACTTTCAGTTATACACGCGTCAGTGTAAAAGTAGTGTAAAGTGAAGGTGTTAATTAATTTTATCACTGTAAGACCATACTGAACGAATCATGGCTTGCACTCGACTACTGGGTCTACCCATCTTACCTACAAGATTAAGTATATTTTTTTTATGTTTAGAAAATAAATCAATGGTGGAAAATTTCTGAGCCATGTGTATGGCTAAATTTTTTTAACGCAACGCATCGTCTTTAGTACCGAGATTTTTAAGTCACGTGCCATGATGGAGATTATTCAAGTACAATGTAATGCTTTTCTCTCTTTTCACTCTCCTTTTTAGCCCTCTCTTTAATTCTCTCTTTACCCCGCAAATGTAAATGCGGCAAATGACTTGAATAATACTGACTAATAATGACTATAATAAATATTGGTGAAAAACTCATGTCACCTTTTACGAACACCATGGCTGGAGTTTCCACGTCCTGGTAGCCTTCGACGCTGGCTCTGCACCAGTATTGTCCCGCCGACTGTTGTGACACAGTTACCGTCAGGTTCGAAGACTTGCCAACTCTCTGCGTAAAAAGTGTCACGTGTCATAAAAATTGAATTTGAATTGGTTGCGGGCGGTGACAAGTGAATTGGTTCCTTTTCCACCTAACAGGAAATCAGTGTTTTTGCACAACGCTACGGTAGATATGTTATTAAAATAACGTACAAATCACTAAATGTTTATTTTAACAAGGTCTAGGATATCTGCAGAAAGTTAATTTCATTATTCCTTCCAATACAGTTTGATTTCTTTTTTTCTGCGTAGTGATTGACCTTATATTCGACGAATTAAAGTAGCAAGAAAGGTACAAATCTTACTTCAGATTGAATCTCGTCCCGGACGAAAATTAGAACCATTAAATTCTCGGCAATTGATTATTGAATTGTGACAGCTTACTGTGTAATATTTTCAGCGTAATAACTGTACCTTTCACGTTTAATAAATTAATAAATGTTGGTTTCTTATTAAACTTTTAATAAAATTTGTGATTTTATTTTATGTATCACGATTTCACAGAAGACGTAAGGCGCAAAGAGGAAGTGTTATGCTTTAGCGTTTCGTCTGGTCAGTGAGGTAGTCGGGATCCACTATATTAAAAGGTGGCAACGCATCTGCACCCTTCGGGTATTGCAAATGTCAATGAGTAGCGGATATAAATTTGCATCAGGTGAACTGCCATCTCGCTTGCACATGAAAAGGGTACAAAAGTTACTTTTAAACCTTACTAAAATTTTACATTGTCAATTACTTATTTCCACTTACGATCACTCTGTCGTTTTCGTATCGCAACCACGTGACCTTTGGCTGGGGATGTCCCTCCACCACGCAATGCATAGTTGCCGTCGTTCCTGAATCTCCCTCGACGGTCTGAGGTTTGATCCTAAACTTGGGCCCATCTGAAAAACTCCGTTAATAAGTCCGTATTTTTTAATAGAGAGAACATTAACTCTAAGGCCACGCAGCAGCCTCGGCTGTTGCACGAATGGGCGGGCTCGTCCGGGTAAGTATCTCGGCCTCACAGATGACCGACGTAAAGTGGAAGTATGATAAATACTTTCGCGTTTCGTCTGGTGAGTGAGGTGGCCGGAGCCCAATTTTCAAAAGGTTGTCAACGGATCTGTAACCCTCGGGAGTAGCAGATGTCCATGGGCGACGGTATTCACTTAACATCAGGTGAACCGCCTGCTCGCGTGTCAACTTTTCACATTAAAAAAAAACATAATTTTATAATTAGCCATTTAGTTAAGATTCACGGAGTAAGTAAATAAATATTAAATATTTTTAGGACACATTTTTACACAACGTTCTCTATTCCTAAACTAAGCAACGCTTGTACTATGGGTACTAGATAACTGATAAACATACTTAAACATACGTTTCTTTTGTAAATAAATATATATTATACATATACAAACAAGCAGACACTAGAAAAACACTATTTTCATCACACAATATTTTTCCAGTAGTGGGGATCGAACCCACACCCTCTAGCTCACAAGGCAGGTACACTACCCACTACGTCATTCGGGTCTAACTAGGCTGGCAGGCTGTTTTCTATCCTAATATTAACCGTATCTATTAAGCCATTACTTCATAAATAGTGAAAAGACAGTCATGCCTAAGCTTAATAATTATTTATAAAACTAGTACGATTATTATAAAGCTCCAAAATATATACGGATAAACGAAAACACAATACATCACGTTTTAATATTCTGTCCAGGCGTATTTATTTTTTATCCCTTATAGAGTCTTACGTTAGCATATTTTTATTCCCCTTGTATTTTTAATGTCTTTGTTCGAGATCATAACAATTTGATTTCTATACTATTGTGTTTCGATTCAAAGGTTCTCGTTATTATGTAGTGTACAATAAAACCAAAATAAATTCTCGCTTTTTTGATAATATTGGCGATGTCTTTTATAATAAACTTCTGCGACGAAAATATCAGGCACAACTTTGTCAACTTTTATAATATAAACAAATATAATATTAGTAAAACAAATATAATATTAGTTAAATCAGCTATTTCTGCAGGTTCATGAATAACTTGGGTAGTCCGTGTAGTCTTGCTTCCTCAGCAATACTTCTACCTGCCTATATCGGGTGTAAATAATGTTAAATTCGTTTAGCGTGTAGCGGAATAAAAAAAATAGCGTCTCTGGGCTTCATCTAATTCTTAATTTAATGGTCCTAAAGAAGAGACACTTAGGGGAAAAGTACTTACTTTCTCTATTGAAAAATTAATTGTTCCCTTAGTTACAATGGCGATCAATTAAACAGTTAGTAGTTTTCTCTTCCTATAATTATATTGATGATGAATAAAAGTGTTAACTATCTTAGATAGGTAATGGAGTATTAAGAGTAAATTAACATAAAAAAAAAACAACGAAACACGTAATTTCTTTACCGATGTGTGTTTTTGATTTGATTTTTAAGCAATCTACATCATCCTTTCATCTCTTTGCACATAAAGAGAAACTATCTACTTCCGGATATCCGTTGTTATTTTTTACACTTATCTCCTGGTATAATAGGACATAATTGTAAATTGTAAGTGCAATTTTGAGTATGTAGATAATACCGCACAGATTTTATGTGCAAAACATACTATGATTCTCTACGTCTGAATTTCTTTATTCTATATTTGTAAATCTCATTCGCACTTCACAGCAAAATTGTAACGTTTGTGATATGCATAAATATAAAAGATTAATGACGTTTGTAGGATAATATCCATCATATAAATTGAGTATTTTACACTACTTTACTTTTTTATTAGGTATTTTGAGAGACTCAAGGAAAGTGCACTTCGACTTAGACCTTATAACACCTGCCCTGTTCGATCGAAATACATTAAACTATTCTTTTTTGTTATTTTTTTACTTATTCGATATGTAACTAGAGAACGGCCAGTGTTTATAAATTTCCATGAAAGGAAAAGGCTCTCCGGTTAAACTGGCGCGTTCGCAAAGAAAAGGAAGCAAATTAAAAAAGAAAAACATTACTCACAGGCAACTTCCAGGGTCTTGGAATCGGCGCTCGTGCCGACGACATTGTGCACCTCGCATTTTACCGTCGCCTCGTTGTACTTGCGCGACACGTTCGATATCACCTGCAACAGAGTCTTTATAGTTCGGGCAAGGGGCGGTGCGGGCGTAAAAATATCGGAGTAACGACGCCTCACACGCCTCGTATCGGCGAGCGAGCTTATTGACAATATGGCGGCAAGTGTTGCGCTTTACTGCCACGGCTGCGACGTTCCATTCGCGGCGGACTGTGTGAGTTGGTAGCGTTATACGTAGAACCGTGGCATACGATTCTATCCTCGAGAAAAGAACTAGTGACAATGTTCTTTTCAGTCATGTACTTTTACAGCTCCTGCACCTCGTTGCATAAAAAAATAAAACTTTAACTAAATCCGTCCTTTAGTAAAAGCTCGAATGTTTATTACGAAATTAGTAGTTTACGCATAAGGTTCTCTTTTAGCTTCAACTTTTTATTCGGTCTAAAAAACCTGATCTGCAACCTTGGTAAACAGAAAATTGCTAAAAATAAAAATTGACTTCCGCTGGATATCGAATCTGACGACAAAGATTTAATCGACCGTGGCTCACACGACTGAATAATATTCTGCCACAAAAAACCGCGCCCGCAAGATAGCTACGGGCCGAATAATTCAAGTATAATTTATTTAGCCGGTGTATGTACGTATCTCCCGAATGTGGCGCGGTTAATGCAAAATGCATATTGCAGGTGCCGGTTGTGCCAAGGAGAAATTCGAAAATTCCCTGCCCGTGGGAATTTTTGAGGGGGTCCGCAAAGCCGACGACATGCAAATGTTGCTTGTAAAATTAAAACGATGCATAAAATAAACTTATCCGCCGCAATTTTGAAGACATCAAAGGCGTAAATAAGATAAGAACACTACGCTGCGAAGTTTTATAACTTTGCACCCGCTGTGGGAAAACTGTGGCATTTGTACAGTTACGCCCGGTTTCTGAAAAACTGAACATCGTAGATGTTAACTAATCAACAGTCAAATGGCTATTCAAATGTCATTTGAGTTGCCAAAATGATGGTTAAACTCTTTGAATTGATCTGATTATTAAGAAATTCATTCTGGTCAATTCAGAGAGTTTAGCCATCCTTTTAGCAACCTAAATGCAACATTTGACGACATCTACGATGATCAGTGTTTCAGAAACCGGGCGTTATTGTCTTTATACCTTGTACACAAAAAACTCTTGTACAGAGATGATTATTTGAAAAATGTACAATCGTATTTAATCTAACTGTATATTCAGAAATCTCTAATATTATGAAGATGACACAAATGGCGTAGTGGGTAGTGTACCTGCCTCTTACGACAGAGGGCGTGGGTTCGATCCCCAATACTGGAAAAATATTGTGTGATGAACATAGTGTTTTTCTAGTGTCTAGGTGTTTACATATGTATAATATGTATTCATTTACAAAAGAAAAGTATGTATAAGTATGTTCCAGTTATCCAGTGTTAGAGAACATTGTGTAAAAATGTGTCCTAAAAATATTTATTTATTTATATTCAATTCTTCAAATTCGTATTAGTCGGACGCAAAGTATTACAATAATTATTTATTGGTATGTATATGGTTATTGTCCGTGAGAAATCAGGAAAATAGAATAATCAGTCCCTGCCACTATTTTGATAATCCTACTGTTATGTCATCCCGCGACTGGAGATTACAAGATTACGTATACAGTTATTATGCTACCGCTGTCAGCAAGGATAAACCAGATATATACTACAATATCTGTGTAGGCCTCTGCCTGATGGCGTGAGCATTAATATATATATATATGTGAATGTAACTGTGGTAGGGCCACAGTTTTCACTGTTGCACGAATGGGCAGGTCTATCCGGGTAGTTACCACGATCTCACAGAAGACCGGCGTTAAGTAAAAGTGTTACACTTTTGTGTTTCGTCTGGTGAGTGAGGTAGCCGGCGCCCACTTTATTTAAACGAGACAACGCCTTTGCAACCCTACGGGCGTATAAATGTCCATGGGCTGCGGTTATTACTATTATATGGGCGGCTAACATCAGGTGAACCGCCAGCTCGTTTCCCATTTTTTCTCATAAAAAAGAAATAAATGAAACAAAGATAATATACAATTCGCTATAGTCTCACGTACGAAGTAACAATACTAACGATTTCATTGTTAAGATTCCCGATGATCTGATCGCTGTTCACGAACCACTTGTAGGTGAGGTTGTTGGGATTCGCCGTTGCTTGGCAACCTGCGAAAGAAAACCTCATCAATCGCTTAGTTGAGGCGTCCAGCTTGAAAAATTAAGCAGACTTCTAATGCCTTACACTATATACATTTGCTATTTGATTTTAAGGAGTTTCCCGATCTCTATCCTGAGTCTAAAGTCCAACAGCAATAAAATTGTGATAATATGGGATCACACGAAAGTTATAACAATTCCAGTGAAAAAATATTTTTTTAAATCAGCTCTTGAATGAGGTTCCGAGGTTACAAGGAATTGAGACATTCCTCGATTTTTGAAGTCGGTTTAAAAAACGCATTTAGGGAGCAAAGACAGCTAAAGGTTTATTTTTCACGAATCCTAACCTAGTCCCTTTTCAAGTTTTTCGGTGTGTACGTGGCTTAAAAAGTAGAATACTATCTTTGTTTGACTTTCTGACACAAGGCCTGAGATATATTAAATTAAATAATAGTAACATTGTTGTTTTTCTCAGACTTTCTTCGAATAAGTTCGCTTCCAGGTTGCTGAAATAGATTTCTCCGAACAATTATAGTGAAGTATTATTGTATAATTTATATAAGACCATGACAGGTTTATATTTCCAGGAAACGAAGTACTATTGCAACTTTATAACTATATAACTTAATAACTTATAAATAGACGAGTTAGAGGTGCAAAGTCGAAGAACGTAGGGGGAACTGATCACAAGCGACCACTCGAAAGGTATCTTATAATAATAATATCTAATTAAATTGACGTATCGATAGCACAAGGTGTTGTGAGTTAGGCTACAAACTGAAAGAGATATATTAGGGGACTATTTAGATGGAAAAAAAATATTTGGTACTGAACAAATAGATGGACAGCTTATATACATTATAAGCTACATTAAATTAGATTTTATACTACCGTTATTCCTCAAACTATAAAGGAATTTCACAAGATTGAAAGTCTGATGATTAAATATTTCATGAAAAAAGTTAAACAAAACTCCTCTAAACATTTAATTTGTAATGTTATATGGCCATGGTAGCTCAGGGTCCCAACTCTCACTTTCAGCAATCACGAGAAACCATAGATAGGCCCGCTTTTTTATTTGAAAGTTGACAAGCACGCTTTTTTTAAATAACTCTGTTAAACTGATATGTGTTTGTCGAACATTGTCTTTTAAAGGTATCCGTCTCCATTTTCTTAGATCTCAAAGAAAAACTATCTTTAAACACATGAAATAAAAATTATGATTGAGGCTCACCGCCAATTCACTCTCCCACTATGACCATATTATCTCTTGTATCTTGTATTAACTGATGTTTTTGCTTTCAGTCCCGAGACTATTAAAGTTTCATCTGACACAGAACCGGTTGGCTAACTAGAGCCCACGGGTGTTCTCTTGTATTGTATTTAACAAAGTTTAACACCCCCACCACAAACGAATGTGTTTGAAACAATTATTACGAACGTGAATACATTATACAAGATATTCAAAATGAGTCAACATACCCAAAATCAGCTTATCTCCCTCCTGTATCATGCGGTTTTTCCCACCGGACTTTATGAAAATCTTCACTCTCGGCGCGTATTGTACCTTAAACAAATTGATGAATCGTTTTTTTTTTTATTATTATTTTATTTAACAAATAACGTTGCCCTCACTTTAATATATAAAACTATCCTGTGTTGTAAGTAACTTCTACAAACATAAATTTCAAGCGGACGAACACCCAGACGCGAAAGAATTATCTATGAGTCACATATATAGTTATCCCGTGTGAGAATCAAACCCACGACCCCCGCCGTCGAAGCCCATAACTGAGCATTCGCGCACCGGAGTCCTTAATTTTTTGTCTAAATGTAAATTCAAATATAAGTAATTTAACACGAGAAGATTGTGTTTTTATTAGATTTGTTGCTATGTTCCTAATAAAATTTTTATTATGTACAAACCAAAAGCAGCAAATAGAAAAAATAAAACTTTAAAATAAGCTCGAGGCTACCATTAAGAAGCCTATTTTATTATTTTCCATTAGAGAATACTGTCGGGAAGGATTTGTTAAATTGGTAAAAGATAAAAGAACAAGATTCATTAAAAGACCTAGTTGACTCTCTGTAGAAAAATTCTTGGTAACATCACATCAAAAAGGCCTTTTAAGCGTGAAACAAGAAAAAGTCTTTAATTCTATCAAGCGCAATTAGAGTTTAGAAACATCTTTAAAAAGATAACGTAAAGTAAAATAGTTCTACCGTATACAAAGTTTAACGAATACTTTAACTTCTGTTACAAATAAATTCAAATACATTTTATCATGGGCTGTGTAATGGTATTTTAACAATTGATACTTATAACTAAACCATAAGAAATAAATAATAAAAAAAAGAATAATAATACCATAAAGAAAATAAACCTATTTTAAGGATTTTCATATTCTGCCTTTGATGTAAACCGTAAAAAAGATTAATTTAGAATGTGTGTGAAATTTCAGGCATGTTAGAGTAAAAATCGGTATCGTCCGTTTCATTAAGATGTCCTGTTTTTTTTTTTAAATTACTTTTTAGAATCCGCTTACTACGTTTAAATTTTCATTTTCAATTATGCATTTTGTTTACTCGTATATCTTGAAGTGATTGTTACACTTGTTTTATTATTATAAGTTACACATCTATATATATATATATAATAAAATGCTGTTCGTCAGTCTCGCTTAAACTCAAGAACGGCTGGGCCGATTTGGCTAATTTTGGTTTTGAAATATTTGTGACAGTACAGGGAAGGTTTAAATAATGAACAATTATTTGAAAAATTTATTTTGTGGAAAATCGAAATAGTAACAATTTTATTTTCCCATAAAAACTCTTCCTATCTGTCAAACGTTTTATGCGTGCGATCCGAAAATTATTTTTCTATGTGTTCAGATTCACTAATTCCCTATAAATAATTTATGTGGCAAAACAACGTTTGCCGGGACAGCTAGTTCTTATTAATTATTAGGTGTAAGCGATTGTTGATAACATGATAAACCTTGTTGAATAAGTAAATAAATAAACAAATAATTAAATTCATGAAATGAGTAAACGAAAATATCCATTGGCACATTTCTATTAGGTTCCAGAGCAAAAACTTTTTCATCATAGTAATATTCGGTCTGGCTCGGTTGGGCAGTAACTACCTACGGCCTGGAAACTTGCGTCAAGTTAAAGTATTGTAATTTTGCGTTTAGTGTGAGGTGACGGAGGCGCACCCTTTTAAAGGTTAGCTCTTCAATTGTTATCTCACGAATGGTCTCCATGTTGGGGCAATCTTTTACTCATCATATAAACTTCTTACAGTACAGTACATATGTTACAAATATACAATTAACGTTAATTATGAGAGAAAATAATAGGGAAATTTATCGGAATTATTTTATATAGACATACTATTAACAGACTGTACTGTATACAAATGAAAAAACACAAAAAGTAAGAAGTAGTACTTCTATTTGATTTAACTAAACATTAAACAATCACAAATTAAAAACTGCTTATTTAATTTTGATTGACATTTATTTTAAAGTTCCAAAAGCAAAATAAAGTTGGAGAAATGTAGACCTTTATGTCGTAAACAATCATAAATTACATGCTATGAAACATATGTTCTGATTGTCTTACGCGTTTCAATGTCTTTTAACTCACTATATACAACATATTGTGAAACCCCCTGATACTATTTTTAGTATGGAAATCGGAAGTACGTAGTCCACACGAGCTAAGCCTCAACATATTCAATTATGAATGCCTATTTTCGTGACTAAAGTTCTAAAGTTAGAAACTTAAGTTAAACCACAATTACTTAGTTTGTGCGTACAAACTTTAGCTTGTTTAGCATTATACTAAAAGTCAATAACATGTCATCGAATTTGAAGGACTGCCCAACTATAAATAAAAGCAAGAAAAATGAACACAAAAGATTGCAAATTTCGACTAGTAGACAATTGCCCCGTCTATCTCGTCTTAACTGGCAAAAACGAGGCTTCGGCCTCAGCTTGAAATTATCGATATCCAAAGTAGGATTAAGAATTGTCGAGGATAGATAAATCCTTACTATCCCTACTAATATCATAAAACTTGAATGTAAGTTTGTTTGTTACGCTTTCACGCAAAAACTACTCAACTGTTTATCATACTGGAAACTGGGTACACATATTCTTAGAGATATTTAAAAGGACATTTTTATCAAAAAAAAATTAAAACAAGAGATATTTATTTAGGGCTTCAACGCGAGCGAAACCGCGGGCGAAAAGCTAGTATATAATAATCTAAAGTATCAAGATTACCTGAAGGAGCATATCATAGATGGATATCTATCTTGTACCCTTATTAATACAAATTGTAAAATCCAGTAAGTGATTTACAATAGTTTCTCATTTGAACACTCTCCGTAGCATTAAACATAATTATCCGCCGTCGTCCTAAATCGATTACATTGTAACGTTAAAAAGTTTACATGCCGGACGGGTCATGCCCCACCGATGTATTTACCGCGTACCCAGCGACGCTTCAAGTCTAGACGAAGCCATAAAGTGCGAGGGAATTAAAACGACAAAGCGGCTCTCCGATATTACTATCGTGTCACTTTGGAAGAGGTCACACACTTTAACTTCTGAATGGGGAATCTCTTTAATCATAATAATAATCATCTTTTTTTTTAAATTTACTTACATCTTAATCGTTGTATGTTATCTGTAAGTCATGAATAAATGAAATAAATCATTTACGTACATAACTGAAATATCAAATGCTACTATTAGGTGTTTGGATCAATATAAAACAATCCGGCCAAGTGCGAGTGGGTCCCGCGCATGAAAGATTCCGTACCATTATTTATGAAAACGGCAAAAAAGGTGTTTCTGTTGTATGGGAGCCGCACTTAAATATTTTTTTATCTGTTTTTTAGTATGTGTTGTCATAGCGGCAACAGAAATATATCACGGTTCTTGAGATACAGCCTGGTCACAGACGGACAGACAGTCGGAGTCTTAGTAATAGGGTCCCATTTTATCTTTTGCGTACGGAACCCTAAAAACGTATTTGTTTTTAGCCGCGTAAGATAAATCGTTAAAATATTTTAAGAACATCTCCTCTAAGTCTACATTAAGCCTGAAAGTAAAAAAGTAAGCTGTTATATATTTTATTTACCTGCAGTGATTTGGACCTTTACATATATAACTTCGCCGGGACGGTTCGTGAAATTTCTAAAGTGCTTACCGTCACTTCGACTTGTACCTTCGCCCTAATTGCTTACACAGGGCGTTAAAAGCACGCCCCTGCCTCTCGAAAATCGTCACATTAAAGTGGATATATTTGAAAGTATAATGCGATCGCTCAAGAACTTAACAATGGTTTTCTGAACGACACATCTGTCACAGATTTTCGTATGGAATTCGTTTTGTGTTTATGTATCAATTTTCTAATGTACGACTTCTACCCGTAGCATCATTCATCAATTATATTATATCCGAGGGTTATTTCATTTTCGTTCGTAAAAGTAATGATGAATGGCCAAGTTTATTATAAACATCCTTTAAAAATTTTATGATAAAATATCACGACTTGGCATCGGTAATCCTCTGGCACTTTTATCTGAATAATCACTTGTCAGTTTCAGAAGGAGATCAAAAATAAAATCATAATCTTTATTGACGTTAACGAACTCTTCTGTATCATGCTTCATTATATATCCTTGCTCATTAAATGTTTAAGCTTTTTGAAGTCCCCTGAATTTTAAACGTTTCCAAGTTTTTTTACCTTTTACTCCGTTACGTGCTTTTAGAGAAGTGAATTAATTAAGTTTTCGCTGTCGTTGACGTTAATAAAGAAAAAAATCGAGTATTTACAGGGCCCTTCCACTGCTCTGCTGATATACAGGATTCGCTGACACTCCGCAAGCGTCGTCACGAAATCAGAGCCTTACACAGCCCTCTTATTTTCACTTTGCCAGTATAAAATTTCTACCAATCTAATCTGACCCCCCCTGCCGCTCCCTGCAAACTGACAGCTTCAAATATTCCACGCAGCCGTCTCACGCCGCATAGGCCAACCAATACCGGACGTGTTGGCGAGCCGAATTGGCGAATTTTCTAGCGGAGACGTACAAAAATTGCGGTGAGGTTTTTCTACCATCTGTTTCTTTATTTTGTTACTTTCCTCCTTTCTTTATATCCGTTTATTGGTGGCTTGGCTTAAGGGGTAATTTATGTGTGCAAGCTGAATTGGAGGTAGGTTTTGTTTTATCTCTTTGAATTTTTATGAGCGCGTCTATCGCAGCACCCACGTCATTCCCAAGTTATTATTTATTGCCAATGATTAACTTCCATTGAGTAATCACCATTTTTTTATATTCTGTATTTTATTGCAATATACTTAAATACAATATACCTTCTTAATTTTTTTTAACATATTGCATGTTACAGGAAACTAATCTTAAAGTAATTCTCAATATAGCAAATTAATTTTATAATATATATTTTTTTTATAAAGCGTATGTTGAAATAGTACTCTAACATCTATTAATGTAACGATTCCTTAAAAAATATTCAACAACCAAACAGTGATTTCGGCAGAATTTCTTAAAACAAAAAGTATTCTCTGTAACGTATGGATGATATGATTAGACATGAAAGAAAAAATTTCGGACCAATTTCATTATTTCAGACCGTATCTACCTTTAATATAAAAATTATGCAAGCGAAATAGGCGCCTAAGGAAACTTCGCCTATAAAATCTTAAATAAATGCCGGCTTAATCGGCGTAGCAAATTATCTAATTTTTAGAAGCGTTTGAAACCCCCAGTTATGGAAATAAAGTGGCCGTGCCCGATTACGGGCGAAGTTTGATAACATAAATCGGAAATGATTTTAGCTGATTCTCCTTTACTCTTAAGGAATTACTTAGCCTGTTAGATACATAGATTCTATAGCATTCACTAAAATGGTACGTTTTAAGCTTTTTCGTTTAATTGTTCCTATAAAAATGTTTAGAGAAGTCATTTCTAAACTGCATTCAATTATTTCTGAAACAAACTGATTGCAACAGGATTTCTGTAATTGACATACGATTTTATGACGATTCAATTCCCTAACCTCTAAGTTTAAACATCAAGGGTTACTAATGAGTATTGGTGTTTACGCTCCAAAACACAAACTCCTTTTAAACGAAATATTTAAAGCAATAAAATTTGTATACAGATTTGATCTTTTTATTCTGTCAGATCCTAGCTGTTCTATTTTGTAACAAATAGCGCGATACACCTAATTTGTCTGTTTGAAAATATAGCTCACCTGCAATTTGACATTGGCAGCTCTATAGGCACGGTCTGCTGTGTTTTGCGCCTGACACGTGAAAGTCTGATTATGATGACTCCTTTTCGGTCGCAGGTGTAGGACAGATCTAAAGATGTTGAAAATAAATGAAACACAGTTACAAAGCTTGATCAAGTATAAAATCGTTCCCAATGTGTTCAAGGTATACAACTCCTATTTCCTCCATTGCTAAATCTAATTAAACGGTAATTTAGAAATTTTCACCCATAATAACACTACACTTCATTCCATATTAACCTCCCCCAATCCCCCTTCCTATTTGATTCCCTTTATCCAATATCTTTATTCCAATCATGATAGAATCCTTCGCTCCTCTAATAATCTCTTGCTTCAATGTTCCTCCTACAACTCTAGTTTTATGTACTCTTCTTTTCCCGTTCAATCCAATCTCCTTTGGAATGACTTTCCGTATGACATCAGGAAGACCACTGAACGTAATGCTTTTAATAATAAGATAAAGAAAACTATATCTAAATAAGTTGACAGAATGAAATCATCAGTAGTTATTAATATCGTATATTATTTATTTATGTGTATTAATTAAGTATTTATGAATTAGTACTTATTATATTACAGCACATGTATTCTATTTTGAATCCTTAAATAATGTAATATATTTTTGTTATATTGGGTTTAACATGTTTATATACGTTATATATTTTCATATATATGTTTTAAATTTTAATTATATATGAATATGTATATAACTTAATATTTAATTTGAAAAATTTTACACCTGCCTCTTTTGCGCAGAGCGTCGCCCAGAGGTTGACTGGGAGAGAATGCCTTAGGCATTAAGTCCGCCTATGCACAATGTTAATTTTTTTTGTGTAAAAGTATAAATAAATAAATAAATAACACTCTTTAACTGAAAAATATCAGAGGACATACCGAAAACACGATCGTTTTTCTTTTAATAAATGTATTCACCGGTAGGAATATTAAAATTGGACAAACGCAAGTTAAGGGAGTAATTTCATCACCCATGGGTTTATTGTAAGCTTAAAATATGCACATCAGATCCTTGGACGTCGTCTACCTTTAGGTCACAGAATAGAAAACTTAATAATTTATGGATTTTTTATAATTCTGTAATGCGACAAAGACTTACAATGTGTAAAGTCAATAATTTAATAAATTTCACGCCAAATATATAGATGCATATGGATTGATCACCTTTACTAACTTGTCTTTTCTTCTCGGATTAAATGAGCATATACCTTTATCAAAAGCCTAATTGACTCCTAGCAAGTATCTATAAAACATCCATACATAACAGCCGAGGAAACAGCTCTGAGGCGTCATCAAATAAAGTTTTGTCAAAGCGGAAGAACATTAAGATTACATACCGCGCTGTGAACCTCCTGCCATCAGACATCTGCTCCACTGTGTACGTGACGCCTTGAGTCAGCACGCCACCGTCGTGGTCCACCCAAGTTATCTACAATTTTTTTTTTACAGTTTAACACTTTTTATATTAAATTTTTTTATTAAACTGTACATTAAGACACTTAATGTACAATTAATGTGGGTGTTTTAGTCTGATATTTCGATTTAAATTACGGTAGGTAAATAAATGACGGTATATAAATGTTATAGCAACTATAATTAACATTCGAACATACAATGAAACGGATAGTTGCCATTCATAGAATGATTTTTTATTTGATAGGCGAAACTTAAATTTTGGTTAATTTATTCCATAATATCTTACAAATATGTCACACACCAAATTGGAGTATAAAGTGAAGATTTTATTTACATATGCCAGTTATGGCGTATGCCACTAATGGTTTTTCAATAGTTATGTACCATTATAACTTTGTCTTGGCCATTAAGAACGCTATATATTTCATCTACATCAGAATTAAGGAAGAAGAATTATAGAAAGTTTTGAATAAAAATATAATTATGTATAAGCTCCTAAAATTCCTTGATTCAGACAAACGGGAATCCGTTATTTCGTTAACTACAAATTACTTCGTTGATACTCAGAAGAAACTTATAAGAAGAAAGCCAGTATTGAAACAGGTTTGTGATTAAGCCATCACTTTTAACGTTTATCATTCGTGAATGCTCTTAATTAGAACAAACGAAAGCGGTGGCTATGATAAGACTGAAAGGAAAAAAGAAAAAAAAATCAATCCGTTCTTCATATTATCAACCGCAATACCAGAAACAACTCCGTTAATCATACCCCGCCTGCCCCTCTCTTCGCTTTTCGTTCCCATTTCATTACCGGGCCACACAGAGCGCAATTAGACTAACACATGGTCCATTAAGAACTTAATGCTACACAAGAATCCTCAGACATTCAGTGGTTAATGAGTGCTCGTAAAGCGTCATTATCATTGTGCACTAACGCGCCACATAAGCAACGCGGGTCGATTGTTCGGGCGCCAACATTGTTGGAATAGATAAACAGAATTAATTGAACCACCACTATATAATTAGTGTCGTTGTTTCAATTTATTATAACAATATCAACGTTCGCCTAATCGACCGTGTTAATGGAATTAATAAAATGCCGTTTAAAAGCGGTGTCCGCTGATAATACGGGCATCGGTCCGCCAGTTAATTTGTTAATGTCAGTTACGATTTGTTATTTCGATCCACCATTAGTAACGTACATATCTCAACAGTGCTCGAAATGTAAAACCGCATTTAGTTCATTTCCTTAAAGGAGTTCAATAAAATAGATCATACATTACATCATATTTATAAATTTTTAGCTGTGTTTAACAACTTCACCTCAGCTGCCGGTTTGCCCCCGATGGAAACGCAATCCAAGTTGATTTCCTGATCTTCGATCGCGTTCAATACTGCACCTTGAAGTATCCTCGGCGGTTCTGGTGGCACGAGGACTGTCAGCCGAGCATACCGTGATCTGATGGGTGGTTCACCTAAAAACATTAGACAGAGTTATACATAGTCACAATAGCATCACCCAAATTCGTGGGTCCAATTCCGGGAGATCTACACGTACAGAATGCAGATAATTTTATCAGGTGCTCGCGTAATTGAGTATATACCCTTATCAGTTAATAGTAGGCGTAAGATACTGAAATCGGACGACTCTCTGTTCATAAGGATTTGGTGGGACTATTTCATGCACTGCCGATATGACGACTATGTGGGCATAGCAAGGCGAATAACAAGGCATTGGCGTCGTAGGAAAGTTATAATTCTTTGAAGTAATATAAGTACACATTCCTTCAAACTAGTTTTAACTTGTAACCCTTACATGGCCATGTGGTTGCAAAATGGCAAAGCTCTACCATTTAAGTAAGAAACATAATAAATGTATGTATTTTTTTTAAATGTAATAGATATCGCATTAACATTTTGTATAGTTACATAAATGACACAGTAAAGTCAAATGTACTATAATATTTTGACATTTTGACATGACATTTTAAACTTTTAAATGTTAAAAATTTTATTATAATCCGATTCGGTGCAATTTATATGGGTAGATAAAACTTCTTAAGGTAATCCCGAGATTTATTTTCGTACATCAATTCGCGGTCGCGACTGTAAATCCTCTCTTCGTAAGAAACGCATTGATTGGAAAAGTTTGGAAACGTTTTTTTCTCTCGAGCAACTTTCGTATATATTCTCAATTGAATTCAAAGAGCTTTTGTAAAAAAAGGAGATAAAGAAATGTGTCATGGAATTTACTGTTTATGGTTTCGCTTCAACGATTCTTGGAGTTATCTTACTGTCTTGAATTACAACGTGGGATAAAAAAGTGATATCTTTAACTGTTCCCCTATACAGATCAAAAAACGTAACAAGCCCCAACACAGACGACGTGCTTTTAAATAATTTAGCAGTCTGTCTCGTTCTGGACCAGAATTGCACCAATGCGTTTTATATGTGGTTTGATCGAGCAGGTATACGTTAAACATCTATTATCTACCAACAACTTTATTAAAACATTTGTTTTAAAAGTACAGTGTGGCCTATCGTCTCTTGACGTAGACATACGATGTAAAGTCACGGGTTCTAGATACGAATAAACTTGCATCCAATTCTCGTTCGTAAAGTAACGATCGAAAGTAAGCTTTCAGTGAAATATGAAAGGTATTAGTTATCCTTTACATTTAGAGTTACAATGCGTAAATTGTTTTGTAGTGGTTATTATAAAATTCCATCTGTTAGAAGCACTGCAATCAGTCCACGCTTATTCATGTCTATTACCCTCCTATATTTACTTGAATGATATCCAAAGAATGGTTTATAAACCTTTAATACCGTAAAGCTTCCACGGCATGGCCGTCATACTAGTTTTATTAGCATAATATCTCGTTAAGCCAGTCACCACTGGCCAGGTTGGTATCTGCTTACCGACCTTAATTAGAACATCAATTTATTTCGAGTTACCCTAACAGGTATCGCTTATGCCGTCGAGCTTACATGCATTAACGTCGACGTATTATTTGATACAGAAATATTTATGGGAAGAATATTTTCCATACACAATTTCAGTCGTAATGAGATTCTATACATTTCGGTCAAGTTACAAGCCTACTTTTTGATTTGAAGGATCGGCTCTTATTAGGAGTCAATACATTCTTTCCTTTGATCTATGCGCGCTCTTTTAAGCGTTTGATTTCTAATTTTTTCTAAGTTTTCTTTGGTAAAAGGTTGACAAAAAAAAACTCTTGACAGCTGTGTTTTTCACGACTCGGTAGTTCCCAATCATTATTTTAGCAAAGTAATTCGAAAAAGATGGGGGGAGAGCCAGAGTAAGCCACCAGCCACCGATTAGGGCAAAGAAACAACAGAGAAAAAAAAATTTTTACTACCCCGTTTCACCCAATGGCCACCAGTGGTCCCACCCGGCAATAATGATATTCATGGTAAGCATCCAAGCATAATTTTGGGTTTTTCTTGTATTTAAATGATGGAGACTAAGGCCTAAATCTAATTGTAAATTTCCAACTTTAGATCTAACTATAATCCAAGACATTATCGGCCTAACTTTCGGCATGCGGTCGCCTAAATTTATGTTAAGCGCGGTTCGATGAAATGCTCTCATATTTTACCATCTACCGGCGCACGGACCACAAAACTAACTCACCGAGTAATTTCATTACAATACCAAATCCCAACTAAAAGCTTGTCTGTTATCATAAGGGTGGAATATTATAACGGTTATCTTAAATACATTTGGACGCGATTCGAATGTTTGACAATTGTCTGGCATTAAGGTGCGAAGTTAAACGGATTTGTAGTCGGCTTTAATAGTTTATCTAATCGAAACAGGTTGATCGCAGACCTTGCGTAAATTGTACTAGAAAATCCACCGTAATTCAACAACTTTGCGAAAAGTTTGCCTGTCAAATAGATTAATTCGCATTAAACGAATGGCTGTTAGCTGAGTTGGTGAGCGTTTGTGGTCAAAAGCGTCTTTCAATTTGATAATAGTCCAACCCTGTGTCAAATGTTTGATCATATTTATCTTGAGAAACAGCGTAGCTCGTACACAATGGCGATGGATTCTGAAACAGTCCACTCCCCTGCAACATCAATACCATATTAAAGCAATACTAAGAAGGGAAAGCAGAAGACGTTCCAAGGGCCTCAGATAGAGGTTAGAGCTTGAGTCGTTATCGATGTAAATATGTCATTGATCGAGTACATCAATGATGATTCGTTATAAAATGCCAGCCAACTGAATTGATAACCTACTGTTATTCGTTCATTTTTTTTGTGAGAAGTTGGCAACCGCACTGGCGGTTTACCTAATGTTAAGTGATAAACGCAACATTTGCAACACCCGTTGTTGCAATGCAACCTTTGAATAAAGTGGGCCTGGCTAACAACTCACCAAACGAAAAGCAAAAGTAGGACACTTCCACTATACGCTGGTCTTCTGTGAGGTCGTGGTACTTACCCTAATGGTAATGGCCATTCGTGCAACAGTAAAGTATCCACACTGTGGACGTTCCCAGTTCGATTCCTGCATTACACAATTATATTTTTGTTTTAAGTTATACATGAACTTTTCATATCCGTAACACATTTTTAAATGTGAACTTTATAGTTTACCACAATAAAGGTACGACGTTGAAGAAGTAATCAATATAGGTACTAATGATCATCAGGTATAAAATTAATATTAGTGTGAACTGATTTTTAATTATTTTCTCGGCCGGTACTAAATTCACTTCAGCTCTCCTATAATTCTCATCGAAAATGTTCTCTCTCAAAAGCCTCATCGTCAGAATGCCTTTGTGTTTTTCTCTCATCGTAGAAAAGTTAAGCATTGCATTTTTTTAATTTCGGCCAATGTTCGTTTATTCAGATATTGAATGGCGGCGGTTAAAACTTTTTAATATTCGCTGTTTGGTTTATTGCTATAGGATTGAAAATGGAAATCCTGTCTATGAACATTTGCAGCTAGCAAAAAGTTCAGACTGTTTTGCGTATTGATGGAACTTTTCGTTTTCATATTGAGTGTATTTTTTTTCTTTTATCAAATATTGGACACTGAAAATTAATATTTGAATTCCTTTTCCGTAGACAGTACTTTTAGCTATTCGTGTACTACTTAAAAAGCATTCTTTCTAGTGCTTTGTTTATATTTTTTATCAGATGAGTGTCCCCAGTTTATGTGAATAATATGAATATATTAATCAATTATATGGTTATAAATTAACAACGTAGATTAGTAATGATAGAATTATTTAATACGTTTTATTATATGTTATATTAACGCGTGTTACGCGTAAAATATCAACTTAATACGTAAAATTAATACGTATTAACACGTACGGTGGTAGGGTCACGCAGCAGCCTCGGCTGTTGCACGACGGTCGTCCGGGTAAGTACCACGAAATCATAGACGACCGGCGTCAAGTGGACGTATAAAATTTCCATTTTTGGTCGTTTTCAAAAGATTTTCAACGTATCTACAACCCAGTAAAGTAGATGTCCATGGGTGGCGGTATACTCTTAACATCAAGGGAACACAGCCTGGTCGCTTGGCAACTTTTCACATAAAAAAATCTATATATACATATACGATCTTTTTACTAGAATGTATGACTAAATATAGAAACGTGGTTAATTTTATTTATAGGGCCAGTTTTTGTACTCAAAAGGAAACTGTAAATTATTCGGCTTTTCCCTTATCATTCAATTGTAATATTTATTCAATAAGGCAAAAAATAAAAATAAAAAATAAATTTCAAAATGAACGATAGTTTCAAATAAATTTTGAATTCAATAACGATACAGTAATAAAATTTAATTGTATTGAAGACATTAAAATGCAAATAAATATTATAGCAAGTGGAATTTGAAATCTAGGAAAAGAATACATTGATAAAAAAAGGAAATCTTGATATAATATTTTAATTGATGTTGATGAATGATTAATATTTTAACATTCATAGAATCATTTAACAGAATTTTAGGTAAATTAGGTAGGCTTCAATCAAAATGTCATATTATCTTTACTCCGCAATCTAACGATCAGTAAACATGGATTTAAACACATGTTTATGATAAAAACAAATTAGAAGAGTTTTGTTTCCATTTATGACAGACCATTATTATGCGGGAAAAGCCCGGCGAAGTAGAATTCGTCCGATCGTTAATTACCAAGGGAAACCAAATAAAATATACGGAGTTTCAAACACGGGAACAGAATAACCCACCCCGCAAACACGATAGTAGTGACACTTGTTTCGAAACTACAACTTTCTGTAGTTTAACTTCAGTCCGCTGTTTATATTCATCTTGTTCTGCTCCATGAATATAAGTAAATATTGTATTTGTTGTAGCCCAAGTAAGCAGCTTACCGAGTAGTGTGGTAAATCAATCTATCTGCAGTGCATACTTATTTTTAATTATGAAAACTGTGTAAATGCAGGTGAAGGTGTAATAAAAT